ATGAGAATCAAGACTTGTCATGTAGAGGTACAAGATCCCAACAATGAATGCAATTGTACTGTATCCCTAAAATGTACCAATAAACTCAATTAAAGCTGAAAAAAAGATAGCTATTATACACTTACTTATGATAACTATATGCAAAATAATAATTACCCATGAAGTCTTATGTTTACTGCATTGAATTAGGGAAAGAAAATGGAAAACAATGTTAGGATTGTGTTTGATTTATTTCACTTAACATTATAGTCTCAAGATGCATCTAGTCTCCTACAAATGACTTGTTTTTCCTTCTTTATGACAGAGTAGTACCCCATTGTGTATAAATACCATGTTGGTTTTTTTATCCATTCATCTGTATATGGATATGTAGTCCTCCTCCAAGATTTAGCTGTTGTAAATTGTGCTACTACAGCATGGGTATGCATGTATCACTAGAAGACGATGTCATTAACTCTTTAGGGAAGATTCCAGAAGAGGATGGACTGGGTCAAACACAACCTCTAGCTTTAGTTTTTTGAGGAATTTTCATACTGACTTCCGCAGTGGCAGTACTAGTTTACATTTCTACCAAAAATATAGAAGGTTTCTATTTTTTCTGCAGCCTTGCCAGCATTTCTTATTATTTGATTCCTTGATGGTAGCCATTCTCTTCCAAGTAAGGTGGAAATTCATTCTTCTTTTAGTTTGCATTTCTCTAATTGCCAAACATGTTGAACAAATTTTCACATACTTAATGGATATTTACAGTTTTTCTTCTGAGAAGTGTTGTTAATTTCAGGTGCCCATTTTTTGACTGGGTCTTTTATTCTGAGAGGTCTAATTATTTTTAATTCTTTATGTATGCTAGATATTAATCTTTTGTCTGAGGAATAGCTAGCAACACTTCCCCATTGTGTAGGTCATCTCTTCACTCTGTTGGTAGTTTCCTTTGCTATACAAAGGCTTTTAAATGTGCTACAATAACATTTGTATATTCTTGGTATTGTTTTGTGTATTGTTGGGGTTCTGTTCAGAAAGTCCTTGCCAATACTTATGTCCTCAGAGCTTTACCTATTTTACCTTCCAGCAGATTGTTTCTGTTTTAATATTTAGATATTTAATCTATTTGTATTTTAGTTTAGTACATGGGGGGAGACATGGGTCTAGCATCAATCTGCTTCATGTGGATAGCCAGTGTTCCCAGTACCATTTGTTAAAGAGGCCATTTTTCCTTCAGTGTAAATATTTGGTACCATTGTCAAAGATCAGGTAGCTGAATGTGCCTGGAGTTTTTTCTGCATCCTCTGTTATGTTCCATTGATCCACATGCCAAAACTAAGCTTTAAAAAAAAATCAGTGTAGCTCTTTGTATAACTTGAAGTCCAGGCTTGTGACATCTCCTGCCTTGCTTTTGTTGTTCAGGATTGCTTTTGCTATTCTAGGTCTCCTCTGGTTCCATGTGAATTTTAGAATTGTGTTCTCTAGCTCTGTGAAGAATGCAACTGATAAATTGATTTGGGAAGTGGGAATGAAGGGAGGGCAGGGACAAGGGGAAAAAATGAGAACCAAGACCTGTCACGTAGAGGTACAAGATCCCAACAATGAATGTAACTGTACTTTATTCCTAAAATGTACCAATAAACTCAATTTAAATGGAAAAAAATAAATAAATAAATTGATTTGGATTGTATTAAGTCTGTGTAATAGTTTTGGAAGTATGGGCAATTTGACAATATTAGTTCTACCTATTCAGAAAAATGGATATATTTTCATTTTCTGATGTCCATTTTTATCTCCTTTTTCAGTTTTCATTATAGAGGTCTTTCACTTCTTTGCTTAGGTGAATTCCTAATATTTAACTTTGCTTCTTGATGCTATTGTGAAAGGTATTGTTTCTCTGACTTCTTTTGAGGTAAGGTTGTTATTCATGTACACAAACACTCTTGATTTTCTTGTCTTGACATCATATCCTGCTACACTTCTAAATTTGGTTATTAATTTTAGTAGTCTTTTGGTGAATTTTTTTTTAACAGAAACACTTCCTCTTTTTATTCTGGAAAGCATAACCACTACTCCTGAATTTAAATTTGGATGCCTACTATAATATCTTTACCCAGCAAAATATATACTGATTCAGTACAGCTATCTCTACATTTTTAAAATAAATTTTATTTTATCTCATCTGTTTAAGCCCCCTCCTCTCTTTATGTACAAAAGCTTCATTTCCTACTTTTACTTCCATTTTTACTTTTTTTTTTCTTATCCCTTTTTTCCTTCCTCCTTCTCTCCTCATTTGTTCCCCTTCCCATTTGAACACTTTCTCCCAAGTTTGGTGGAATTTTTTTAGAGGATCATGTCATCTGCAAGTAATGATAATTTGGCTTCTTCCTTTCCTATGTATTATTTTTATTTCTTTCTCTTGCCTGAATTCTCTGGATAATGTACCAAGAACTATAGTGAGAAGGAGTGGTGATAGTGGACATCCTTATCTTATTGCTATTTTAGAGGCAAAGCTTTCTGCTACTTCCCACTTAATATGATGGTGGTTGTTGGTTTGTCCTAACTGGCTTTTGTCAGTTTGAGAAGAGGTCCTTCTACAACAATTTGCTTCAGTGATTTTTTTTTAATATCACAAATGGATGTTGTTTTTTGTCAAATGCTTTTTCTCCATCCATTGAGATGATTATGTGATTTGTCCTTATTTTTGTTTATGTGGTTTATTACATTTATTGCTTTGTATATGTTCAACAATCCCTGTATCCCTGGAATGAGCTTTACTTGTACATGATGTACATTTTTGAGAATTTCTTGTATTCTGTTTGCCAGTATTTTGTTGAGATATTCGTGTCAATGATCATTAAAGAGATTGGCCCATAAGTCTGGTTTTAGGGTGGGGCCTTCTTTATTTGGAATCATGGTAATTCCAGCTCACAGGAATGTCTTTGGGAATCCCCTTTACTTTCATTAAAGTGTTTGCCAAGTACTGGCATTAGATCACTCCCATCAGGACCTGTGCTTTTTTTGGTGGATTTTTTAATTCTTCAATTTTATTGTCTGATATTGGATGATTCAGAATTTTTATATATTCTTGGTTCAGCTTTGGTAGTTCATATATATTTAGGAATCTATCTATTTCTTCTGAATTCTCCATTTTATTAGAGACCATTAGTTACTTATGGTCTTTTGAGTTCAGCAGAGCCTGCTGTGATTTTGCCTTTTTCAATTCTAATGGCTGTAGTTTGGGTCTTTGCTTTCCTCTTTTTGGCAAGACTGGCTAGATCTTTATCTATTTTATTTATTCTTTTAAAGAACCAGGTATTTGATTCATTGATTAATTGTATTTTTTAGACTCAATTTCATGAATTTCTGCTTTAATCTTTATAATTTCCTTCCTAATTTACCACTGGATTTGGATTGTTCTTGTTTTTCTAGGCTACATGGAACATATTATGGGGTTTTTTATTTGGGATCACCTTGTTTCTGATGTAAGCATTCACAGCTATACACCTCTCTCATGACTGACTTTCACATAGATTATGGTATGTTATACTGGCTTCATTGTTGAATTCTGTGAACTAATTTTTTTCTTGATTTCTTCTCTGATGAATTTATTATCCAAGAGGATATTATTCAATTTTTATATGTTTTAATAATTTCTGTGATGTTTTGCCACTGATTTCTAGTTTCATTGCACTTTGATCTGAAAATATGCATGATATAATTTTGATTCTTTTGCATTTACTTAGTCATGCTTTATAGGAGAGCATATGATCTACTTTAGAGAAAGTTCTATGTGCTGCTGAGAAGAATATGTATTCTGTGATTGTTGAGTAGGACACTGTAGATATTTATCATCTCTGTTTGTTTGAAGATTTAGTTTACTGATATTTTTGTTGATTTTTTTTGTCTAGTTGATCTATTTTTTGGTTTGGTTTCCTTCTGTTTTTTCGTTAATCTGTTTTTGAGAGTGAGGAGGATAGAGAGATGACCAAAAAATTCAAAATAATAAGAAAAATGGTACTCATCAGCCACAGAGAAATACAAAGTAGGATGAATCTGTCAAGCAGGTCATAAGTTGTGTATTTATGCTCTGTAGGACCTTATTTCTCAAAAGAAATTCTTGAGCTACAGAGTAAAACATAAGACGTAGTGAATTTTGGAAATTAGTCCAGAACAGAGAAAACGTGGCTACAGTACAGAAAGGAAAGACTGAACTGAGAAAATAGAGAATATAATAACAACAGTTTCAAAGTAGCAAGGCCTCTGCGACAAAGAACTGAACTATATGAACACTTTACTGAAAAGATATGAAATCTATACCAAATTAATAGCACAGCCATCCACAGAACTGGAGAACCAAAACAAGAAAGGAACTGGACTGTAGGAAGTGTAAAACCTATGCTATTGGCTAGATCCCAGCCCTGGTGTCTGGAAAGGGTTCAAATGGGCTGAGTTTCCACAATACAATGGTAGTTCCTTAATATTTGAGTTAGGCTTGGGGGTAAGTTTAATGCTAGGATGAGGGAGGGGTTAGAATTAATTTCAGGTTAAGGTTACACTTAGAGTTAGACCAGATTGAGGTTAGGTACAGGGTTAGAGTTAGTGTTAGGGTTACGAATCAGAGTTAGGGTTAGGGTTAGGGTTTTAGGGTAAAGTTAGAAATTAGTGTTAGACTCCAGATTAGGGTGAGGGTTACAATGTTACAGTATGAGAATTGGGGTGAGCATGCATGTTCAAGTTAGGGTTTAGGGATAGTTTTCTAGTTGAGATTTGGGCTTAGTGGGTAGGTTAGTGTTATGGTGAAAGTTGATAAATCAAACAATTCCCCTCAAAATTCCTTACATTTTATTTATAAATATATTCCAATATATTTTGGTAAATTAAATATTCATTTGAAAAAACCTTAGAGTAAATATTAAAGCATAGTCCAACAAAATAAAATAGTGTATTATTTTACTAATGCTTCCAAAGGAAAATATTTCAGACATGGCTTAAACACTGTAGCCATGATCAGACTTCTCTATTTGGTTGTCTGTAATTGTTTTCTGTACCAGGAATTGAACTCAGGACCTCAAGCTTACCAGGCACGCACTATGCCACTGAGTTAAATCCCTGGCCCTATTGGTAACTTTTAACTGTGACAAAATTGGGCCTTGCCACATGTCACTTTTATAATGCATCACTTAACCAACAAATTCATTGTTATTCCACATTATAGGTTGTTATCCAAAATGAAATGTATATTTGGTATCTACCCTTGGGTCCTATGAGAGAAATTATTGTCATAATTTCTTGAATCGTTGTGTGTTAAAAGCATCTTCCATTTTTGTGCTTGGTCTTTGATCATAGTTCTTTTCACAAACTCCTAAATAATCTGCAACCTCCTGGATTATAAGAATGCCTTTTATTCTCCCAGGGACTCTGGATGGAAATAGTAAGTAAACATAAATACATTATGGCTTGTATCTAAATCCCCCCTAACCTTTATATGCTCATAGGTGGGACTTTTTGTAGGTGGATGGATTTATGGTGGGTGCATATGGATTCAGGATACATGATAAATAAATTAGTCCACTGATTGCTTTGGCATAGTTCTGGGTGTGGATTATGGGAAGGCTCACTCTAGGTGTGGCACCATCCAATAGGCTTGTAGCCTGAATGGAATAAAAGAGAAAGGAAGGCTCAATGTGGCTGCTTTGCTGCCTTTTGCCTGACATACCAGGCATACTATTTCTCTTCCATGCCACCCTGTTCTACAGCCAGTGACTATGGCCTGAAACTTCTACAAACTGTGAGTAAAATAAACCTTTCCTTCTATAATTTGTGGGTGTTGGAGTGTCTCAGCAGTGAGAGACATGTTTGGCACTTTCAACCCATACCACATCCTCTGGTAGAAAAAGGATAAAGATGGATTAAATAATCAGTGACACATATATGATTAAATCATCATCAAAACCCCTAGAATGTATAGTTTAGGGAGTCAATGAGGAAATCCTTGTAAAGGTGGTACCCAGTGAGTACATGGGGGCAGAGGCTCCTGCTCAGGGAAACCTCCTGGACCTCTCTCTGTTCCTCATTAAATTTCATGTCTGTCCTTTACCACACCCTATATCATAAATCAGTTTCCCCATCCTCACACAGTGCCTTTAAAATTTCTTAGAAATTCATAGTCTACATTTCTGGAGCCTGGAATTTTTCAAATCAAGGCAATGGCACATACCCATGTATGCTGAGTCTCCACTCTTCATAGATGGTGACTTTTAGTTGTGTCCTCACATGTCACAATGTGGAAAGAGGCTCCCAAAGACTCCTTTACAAATGTTCTTGGAAGAAAAATAATGGCAGAGCAGTGAGTGCCAGCAACTCAGCTTCTCCAGGACAAAGTATCTAGAGCCGCAGTGGCACAGGTGCCACGGCTTCAATCTATAACAGGTTTTCCATCACTCACCTGGAGTTTAGAAAACAGTAGCTTGGACAGGAATCAAAGTGAGAAGAGGTTACCTGGGAACCAAGAGAGTACAGACAAAACAGAGAAAAAAAGGATTACATGATACAGAAGGAGAGTGCCACTCTTTATAAACCATGCAGCTGAGCAGCTGGCCAGCTATTTCCCTGCAGATGAAGTTGAACTAAAAATTTTTCACTCACAGAGAATTGCACTGGGGCTGGCAGAATCAGTGCTAGTCGGAACCAGCAAGAAAATCACAGGGTACTGCTTCCACAGTGGCCTCCCAGGGTCAACAGTTGCTGAGTAACCTTGGTACAGCAGCCACAGCACAATTGCAGAATGAGATCTGGCAGGAATTCCATTGGAGGGAAGAGATCAGTGTTTGAACCTGGGTTCCAGAGCAGACCCTTGCCTCTAAACCATTCTGCACACTGTCAAGTTCCCAGAGTGGATAAAGGAAGGCCAGCTATAGGAAATAGCTGGTGGTTGGAGAGCAGGCTGGAGCTGGTGAACAGGGATCTGGCTCCTGCAGTTGGAGGCCAGGTTCAACCTGAGTTACACTTGACTAGAAGGTCACACTAGCACCCTGTTCCAACATCCAGCACCATTTCAGGGGCAGACTGTCACCTTAGACTTCCAGTGTGAACAGAGGCTTCAGCTCTGCTTCTTAATGCTAGGCTGTGGAAAATAGTGACACATCCAAAACAATACAAATCTAATTTTCCTTCTTGCCATTTCCCTCTGTTTATTTCCTCGTTTTTGTTCCATTATTTCCCCTTTATGTGTGTACTTATCTTCTTCTTTCCTTTTTCTTGCTATAGAGTTTATAGAGGGAAAGCTAATTCTCCTGTTTCTTATTATTCTTTCTATTTGTGTCCATATCTTTTTACCTGAATTATTTTTCTTGTTTGTTACTTTCTCTAGTTTTTCTTTTCTTGCTTCTTCCCCTTTTTGTCTCCCTTTGACTTTTCCTCTGATATTTATATTAGTCATAGATTCCTTTCTCATTCCCATTTCTCACTAGTGACTTTACACCATTTTCTCTTTTATCCCCATCTAAATATTAAACATATCTCTATCACCATCAGGATCCTTTTCTCCCTTCCTATTTCCTCCTTCCCATACCACACAGCACAAAACTTTTTTAAAAAACTATTTTTATCTTTACCCTCCCAACTCCAGCATTATCTGGTCCCCAACCTGCTGGGCTTTAGATAAGTGATTCTATAAAACTACTGCTGAATGATTTTTTTCAGCATTAAAGGCAACATAGCTATTGCATTTAGTGCACATTACCTGTGGGTCAGTACTTAGGCTGTTACGATGCTTACCACTGCAACTGTATATTTTTTCCCTAGGCTAAAGGAGATCCTTGGATCTCATGGTATGCTATTTGTCAGTTTGCTCTGATAGATACCACTGTAACTGATTAGCCTGTTGCTACTCTAGCTGATTTGATTGTATATAGGAATACTCTGGCCCAGTCAAAACTTTTGTGCAATGAATCTGTCCACTGATTCCAACAGCACACTCAGAGAGAGGGCCACAAGAGTTCCTAACACAAGAACTCAGACTGGATCGATGTTTGTAAGAATACATGCAAACTTGCAGAAAGAAGTCCTGAGTCTGAAGGATCAGAAGAATTTTGCAAGTGTGACTACTCAGATTCTCTGGCAAAGAAGCTACTTGGGAATTATATAGGTCCTGTCTCACTGGAATATTTAATCTGAGTTCCCACTGGATATCTTACTGATTTGAACTTACTTGGTTTGTTTCTTGATTTACTTACTAATGTGGGGCTATGTTATATTATTTTATGGTTTCTTGATGTGTATATTGTGTTTCTGCTTTTTGGTGTTTTTCTTCCACTGGCTCTGATTTAATAAGTATGTCTCTTCTAAGCTCCCTGTTTTCTTCACCTTGAACCTTTGAAGCAATATTACTGCCATTTCTTTATTATTTTTCCAAATATATAAACTCCTCCTGAGTTTTTAATTCCCCATACTTAGCTCCCTGACAATCCCTCCTATCTTCTCTCTTATTAACCATCAATTCTCCCCATCCTAAGCCTTTGGCTCTTCTGTATCTTACTGAGCCTACTGTCTTCCCCAACAGCAGGTTCTGACAACCACATAGTTTTCTTCAATCACAAAGTAAACCTCCTCCCTCCCATATCTTGCTCTTGCCCCCACAAATATCCTCTGAAAACTCTCATTCCTAACTCTTCAACTTAACTAAAATTACTCCAATAGAATCAGACCCCACACCCAACTTTTCTTCTCATCCATCACTATCCCCTTTCATACCTCCCCCTTAGTGTCTGACACTCCTCATCCAACCCCTTTCTGTTCTCCCTTCTCTAGTTTGCCTACCTCATTGCAGGACAACTACAAATAGTAAAACTGTCATAGGGTATGCAGAGGATAAGCAAAAGGGGAAAGTGTAACATAAGGACTATCATATAGAAGTGTTATATGACTGAATCTGTTATAACTACGAATGATTCTTTCAGCAAAAGATAAGGACATAGTGAAAATCACCTAAAATAAATAGGAGAAGCCATAAATACTAGCACTGTATATGCAAAGCTGAAAATTATTCACATGGAGATAACATCCTACTAAAACTTTCTGTAGGAGCCTCAAACTCTCTTCACTCTTCCAGTCTTCAACCTGCAGTGCCATCCTAAAAAGGATGGCAAAAAAGAGGAGACTGTATATATTTATTTATTTTTGTTTTTATGCATATATCTCAGGAACACAGAGCAAAAAAAAAAAAGAGTCGAAATAGCTACATGTGGTTATCCTGTTATGATGTGGAAATTCTGGTGAATTCTAGAGATGGGTTAGGGAACTATCCAATCAGCTACAAATAATCATTAGTTAGTTTATAAGGAAAAATCCCCAAATTATTTGGTGTGAAAACCTTGAGCTGAGAGTTTGCAGGAGTATATTGTAATACAGTTTTCAAAAATTTAAAAAATTTAAATATTAAATATTTCCCATACATGAAGGCTGTTTTTAATAATAAGATATTGTTTAATAACAGGAACAGTGATTTGTGCCTCTGTTCCTTACATCCCTCAGTTTCGCTGAAACTCTGTGTAATTGGCACTCTTTCTAATTAACAGAAGAGAGAACTCAGAAGCAGATAGGTAATTGACCAGTCCTCATACAAAGAAGCCCGGAAATGCTATAGGGACCCCAGGGATCTGTCTCTGAGGCCCAGACTCTGCCACAGGTGTCCTCTTTATTTAATAAAACTTTATATCCTGTCACTGGAAATGATACTTCTAAAATATTCAAGTTCCATACACTGTTAGCATGTCCAGTTCTTCAAGCAATGCATGTATTTTACAGATGGAAGTCAAAAGCAGTGGTAAGCACCTAATGTTCTGGAAAATTCATATAGACACAAAGGAGGAACAACACCATCAGAAGAAACCCATTTCCATTCTGAATAAATTTCTACTTCACAGTCTTACTCTTCTTCATGCACAAATTAACTCATTAGAAGAAAGACCTAACCACTTCATTATGAAAAGACATCTGTTCCAAAGTGGAGAAGTTAAAAAAATGATGGTCATTCTCTAAAGGCTTAAATGCACAATAGGAAAAAAATGAAATACTGTATCATACTAACAGCAGGGTTCAGAATTAGTACAGACATAACAGAGTCACAGATGAGCAAAATACAAAAGTCATAGAAAAGAAAAAAGTTTTATAATAAATGTGGAGTCAATGCTAAATTTGCTTATGAATTTGCACAATTGTTTTTTGAGACAGGGTCTCACTATGTAGTGAGACTGACCTGGAACTCACTGTGTAGCCCAGGCTGGTCGAACTCACTTTGAGACAGGGTCTCACTATGTAGTGAGACTGACCTGGAACTCACTGTGTAGCCCAGGCTGGTCTCGCTCTCACAGTGATCCTCCTGCCTCAGCCTCCTGAGTCCTGGGATTACAGGCGTGTGCCACCACACCCGGCTGGGGCATTTTAATCCAGCATAGCACACAAGTGAAATATCTTAATCCTGTTCTTAACCTTACTGTATGTATCTCTAAAATCCCCCTGGCTCTTCCCTCCCTTTTATCCCAGATCTGTAAATGAGAACACAGGCAGGTGTTTAACAAGGGTCTCAAATGTACCAGTAGCTCTATACCTGTTGAAAAGTGCTCAGAATAATTTTAAGTAAAATCATCTTAGATTAAATCAATTTTTAAATAAATATAACATTGCCTAAAGGATCAACTTTATCCTTAAATGCTAAAGAACACAAGACTGAACATGGAAGTCATGTTAGCAGTGCAACTCATCAGGAGCAGGCAAAGACAAAAGGACTGTATACAACAAGGGAATTGTAGACAGCAGTTGTGCTATCCTTCACTTATCTAGTGCTTTGCAATGAAGTGCAAAACTCCAGTTCCCCTTCACCCTATTCCATGAGGGTCAAGTTCAGCTACAGCTGCTGGTGTCCACCTCCTACCATACCTGCCTTAGGGCCGGCAGCAGGAACCCTCTGCAGCCCCAGCAGCACTGTGCCAACAGAACATGGGGCAGACCCAACCCTTCCCAGGAGTAGAAGCCCCCAAGCTCAGAGGCAAATGAGAGCATTCCAGAGGGTAAATATCCTCACTTCACATATGAGTGTCACACATGGATCACTGTTTTACTATAGTGTCTGTGCATACACGCTGAAGACTCACACATTTAATTCTGCCTCACTCAGTAGAAATGTTCTCTTCACTCCTACTGCTTTCCAGTTGCAACCATTGCTCAAAACTTTGTATTTATGTCACTAACACAGTTACTAGAACAGAAAGAAGTGATTAAATCAACTGCAAAATGAACTAGAAAAGCTAGTATTTCAACTAATGCAGTGGTGAACTCTTTGGAAAAGCAAAAATATTTTAATTCACAAGTTATTATTTCATTAATGCATCTATTTTTAAAGGCTGCTTCACATGAGATTTATAAGATTAAAAAGTAATACATGTAAATAAACTGCTACACATAGATATATAGATGTTCTATATACACAGAGCCAGAAACTGTTTTACTATATGTAAATAGTAATGGCAAATTTTAATCTAATTGTTTTCTATTTCAAACTGAAACTAAATCTTACCAATGCAAAATTTCCACAAAGGCAGCTGGAAAAAGAGAAAAAGAAATAAAGTTATTAGAAACTGCTTTACAAATTCCTTTAAACCAAGTGTTTCAAATGCACTCGCTTCCAAGTCTAGAGAGAGCACACAAGGCCAGGTGGCCAACTGCTTCTGTCCTAGGAACATAGGGACAATTCCAGGACCTGGAGCACACTGTGAATCTATCTAATCTCTGCTCATGCTAAGGGGGACTGGCCACTCGATCAAGGG